TCCTCACCTGATCCCTGGTACTTTGATACTGGATTTCCCAGGCTCCAGAACAGTAAGAAATCTATCTATCTATCTATCTATCTATCTATCTATCTATCTATCTATCTTCCATCCATCCATCCATCCATCCATCCATCCATCCATCCATCTCTCTCTCTGCTATAGTGATACAAAACAAATGGCAGGCACTTGGTGTTAATCTTAGGGACAAATCTCTAGTGACAAGGGGCAATTGGGTAGGGGCCTGAGGGATTGGCTCCCACAGCAGATGCTTTGAAAAGAGCTCCTAGTCATTCCAAGGCCCAAGCTGCATGGATGCTGCCCATCTTCAGACTTGTGTCTCCCTGTCTTGACTCCACATGACAAATGAAGACAGCCTCACCAGGGTGTCCAGATATAACACTGATCCACGTAGCTTTGAAGGACTAGAAAGGTGGTGTGTGTGTGCAACTTGGAGTTTCTTCAAAAGAGCACATACATGTATCTAGAGGGGGTTATGGATCCAGGAAATAGCCTTCCCTTTGAGCTCATTCCCCATTGATTGAAGGTTAATAGCGAGGCATTATTAGTTTAATTTCACAGTCTAATCAGTTTCCTGCTTTATCGATTGAAAGACTCTGAGCAATTGTAATTGTGTGAGGCTGAAACGTAAAACTCCAGGTCGAAAGAGTAAATCCAGTGGTTCTCTAGACTCAAGACACATGCAGAGGAAGCTCCTGGCTTTTCTTGAACACAGCTCACCTGACATGGGCCATGCCACCCAGATGACACCTCCCCACAGACATGATGCTTTTCCTGGTGATCCAAAGAAATGTGAGGCATCTCTAAGACCCCACAGGAATGACTATAGCCCACAAGCCGCCCTTTGCCCAATACCACACCAAGCTAGAAGTCCCCTTCAATGCCACCCTGAGCCCCAAACTGGCCCAGGGCCTCATTGCTAAATACCCTCTGTCAGCAGGGGCCCATCTGTGCGATAGAATTTTTTGTCACTTTTTCAAATCAGAATAGAAACAATTTTTAGTCTATAATTATCATTTCTTTTCTCAACAGACAAATGTTTCCTTTTAAATTGTAGGGCGGAAAAAGCAAAGGACAACATTTTAAACCAAAAAGAAAGACTAAAATTAATTCCTTCTTTATAGAAAAATAAAATACAACAGCACGAAGAAAGCCAGGTTTTTTTTTTCCCTTTTTTTTTTCAAAAGAGCAACACAATGCAACAGTAGATTCATTGCTGCTGGTTAATGCCCAGTTTTGAGAAGCAAGTCCCACCAGGACAGTGCTGGCATAGTCTTCAGACTGGCTTCTGGTGTCTGGGTTTATCTGGACCAATCATATAAAGCCCCCAGTTCAGGGCACCAACTTAGGATCTTGGATCCCAGGAGTCAAGCCAGGACATGGGGTCTATCTAATTCCTCATGCAGCCAGCTTACCCACCTGGGCCTTCCATTTCCTTGTCTTTACAATGGGGGCCCTACTCAGCTTACAAGGTTATTGAGAGTTGTCTTGTAATTTAAAAGCCCTGAGCAAATCCTGCTGTCTATACCTGGCAGTCAGCACTAAGTACACTCATGACTGAAACACCATCTGCAAATGCACACATCCAGTGTCCTGCTGACCCTCTGTAAGCCAGTAGATTCCTCTGCCCTGCAGGCACCCAACTGGGGAGCTACTGGAAGGCATTCGTGGGTCTGGACAGCACCCCAGTTCTTGGCCCTGGATGCACAGGACTTGTGTTAAAGGCCACCCTGTTACATAGCAGGTCACATTTAAGAAGTTGGAAGAATTTGCATGTGGTGGGGGTGGAGTGTGCTCAGATAAATAAGTAGAAAAGCAAGAGTACAGTCTCTCTCTCTCTCTCTCTCTCTCTCTGTGTGTGTGTGTGTGTGTGTGTTTGTTGAGTGTCTGTGGTCTGTGTGGTCTGTGTCTTAGAGTCCATGTTAAGAAGTTTGGCTACACCATGTGAAGAAGTTTGGCTTCAGAATTGTGGGTCAACAAATGACCAATGCCCTGATCATACTCCCTCCCTCCAGACTCATCAACAGGAAGCCAACTCAGACATCTCCACAGACATACTGTGCCAGTGCCTATGGTTGCTGCTGATTCAACCAGGTGAGCCCTTGGCATAAAACCCCCATGTGATCCCCATTCCCAGAGCTGCACTGGTAAACATTTAACCCTCAGTTGTGGTGGCAACAGGAACAAAGACAGACAAAATTCACTCTGCCCTTGACTGGTACTGTTCATTAGCCTCGGCTGCATAAATACTCCTACTGTGGCCATGTCACAGTACCAATGTGATGGTTCTGAACGTGAAGCCAGGCAGAGACTCCCAGGAACCAGTGTGGTCAGCTCCACCCCCAAATCTAGCTCATTATACTTGAGAGATTCACCTGTGAAGTGGGTGCAGTGCTGAAGATACTGTCTAAGCCTGCTGCTGCTGCAACCAAGAGAATCTCAGAACATTCTGGAGGGTAAGGAGCAGAGCCACCACCAGGGCACCATGTCCCCTGTGTCTCTGCATTGACCTACAGGCATTTCCTGCAGCTGGACAACTTTCCCCAGAATTCCTGGATTTTTTACACTTGTTACTGCTCAGCTTACCACTTAGGTCTCTGAAGAGCTAGCTGTACCGGCACCTTGCATCTCCTGCAAGTTCCTGGTCACAATTTCCTAGTCATGAGCACAGCTTGTGCAACCCTGCTGCAGTGTTGGCCCTCCTGCAGTGCTTGCCACAGCCCAGACTCCTTCGAGGGCACACACTGTACCCCCTTCTCCATAAATTCCTGAATACCCACAATACCCAGTGTTGTAGGTAATGAACTCCACGGTGCTCTCGGACAAGCCTCAGCTTCCCCTGCATACTCCATGCAGTTTCTTGATATAAAACAAAAACTCTGGAACCTTGTGCTTCGTGACTCAACACTCCTTATGGTAGACTTCTAATTCAAGAATCTTCCGGAAATGTCTTTACCTCCTGGCCTTTCCCTGCCTGTCAAAGCAGAGGAAGCTAGCACAGTTGTCAATATCTGTGCTTAAGGACAGAATGCCTATTTCCCCCAAGGACCTTGGTGATATCGCTTCCATGGCCAGACCAGGCCTGAAAGACAGCAAGTTACGTGGAGAGGGACCTCATGCTGGCCTGGGCTGCAGTTGAACTCTCCTGTAAAACTGGCAGGGACTGGAACTGTAATGAGCCCAAAAGGTGGAAAAGCCAACTGGGTACTGTGTACCTGACCATTTTCTAAAATTAGTCAGGGGCCCGGCTCTGCAGGCTCCCTCTGAGCAGGGCCACTAACTCACTAAATTTTAGAGGAGGGAGCAAGTCTTTGTTCCAGTGCCCTTCCCTTCCCAGGCAGAGCGGGCACTGTCCTTCAGCCAGCATAACAGAGCCAGACTGCAGCTTAAGGCCTGGCCCTAAATCTCTTCCCTTTCGGCTGTCCCACTGTCTGGCCCAAAGGAACTGTCCCTTGGCTGCTGGGTCATGCGGGAGAGGGAAGGAGACAGGGCATGAACAGATGCCAGTGAGCTCTGGGCAGCACTTCTTGGCCAAGGGATCTGGGAATGCAGACATTTTCCTTAGACCAAGGCACTGACAGCATCAAATAGAAATGCCATGCTCTGTGGTCACATGTCACAGCAGAGAAGAAGAATGGAGTCCTTAGGGCCAAAGCAAAGCCCACCATCTCCACTACCCTCCTGCTGCAGGCTCAGGAAAACAGCAGGCATCGGGTAAAGGGGGCAGTTCTCTTCCGGACCCAGGTCTGGCTCTAGCCTGAAGCCTCAGAGCCCAGGTTTCCTCTGGCCCTTTCCTGCCTCCTACGTGTCTAGACAAGGATACTTAGCTCTCAGCACCTAGGAGTCAGTCATGTGGTTGGCCTGAGGGCCAGCACTGTAGCTGTACCTGGACCACTTGGCCAGCTCAGGGAAGTATAAAAATAAAGTATGCCCTTGAAGTCCCAGTGTGGATTCTTACAACTTCACTAAGTTACCGCGCTAAGAACAATAATCTGAGTTTGGATGGAAATCACAGGGGGAGAACTTACTTTGAAAGTGCATCCGAGGCATCCCTTCTTCCCTCACCCCATGGAGCATGCCTCCTGATACTGCTTAGAAGCCAGGGAATGGAGAGGCTCTGTCTTCTTGTAATATTTCCAAACCACACTTGCTCCTTTAATGTGAAGTCCCTCAGAGACTTTTAAAGTCCCTAAGCCTTATTGTGATGTTGGAAGGATACACAGCAATGCTTATCCTTAAGAGTGTGTGTGCTACCAGCTGGCAGCAGCAAGTTCCCTCCTGCATCTCTGTCCTTCCACCTGCTCTAGCCCCTCTCCGAGCCGAAGGCCCCAAACACCCGACCTCACGTTCCTCCTCTCTTGGGCTATACCGAGATCAGATTGCCGAAACAGGACACCGACCCTCTCCTGCCAGCCCCTGGTCACCCTGGCACCAGTGTGTGCACGGTCACCCACCCGTGAGCTGTGAACATCCATCACAGCGATTCACAGCTGCTTTTCCCCTCCGCACCTCTCGATCCAGGGCAGGTCCGCACACTGCTTCAGGGGCTGACACCTCCCATCTTCCCTGGTGGCGCTCACAGCAGGTGAAGCAGCCTCTAGGCCTGTGTCTCCCTTCCACTCTCCTGCCAGCACTGGGTTTGGTGTAGTGGAAAGAGATGCAGATAAAAAGCCAGGCACTCCAGTTTGGGCGGGCTCTGCTACACCCTCACACACACAACACAGAAAACCACCTCCCTGGCCTGGCAGAGGGTTTCCTTTTACTTGCCTCAGAGAGATGGGGGGGGGGGAGTAGATAAACAAGCAAGCAAGCAAACAACAAATAAAGCTCAGAGTGAGAAAGGGTTTTTTTCAGGGTAGACTTTGACTGAGGAAATCCATTACCATTACAGTGCAACACTGAAGGTAGCCAGGCAAGTCTCCCAACAAGAGGCATAGCTGGGCCTTCACCAGCCCGCTCTTTGCTAGATAAGTACTTACTTCAAGGTTCCCGTTTTTTCTCTTTGGTCAAAGGAATTGCAGAAGCATGCCAAGCCCCAAGCAGCACAAACAGCGAATAATCGCTTGGAAGAGAGGCTTGTTGAAAATGAGTCTTTGCTGGGACAAGGTCGGCTGGCAGGCTCAGCCTATAAATCACTGTGCTCTCTTCGGCTTCCTGGCTCACACTGAGAGATGAACTCGGCTGGACTCTGACATTTCCTAGTTTCTAAGACGATGCCCTGTACACAGTAGGCTTCTATTCATTGCTGATGGGACTGAATAACTGTAAAGGTAGCCAAAGGGGGCAAAGCCTGTCCACTCAAGCTAGATAGCCACTATTTGAAGCTTAGGCGAGGGACGGAATCCAAATCAGAGTCGGTTCCTGTCTGCATCAAGTGGGCGGCTCATTCTTGCCAGCCTTCGCTGAAAAGGATTCTGGGGAGAGCCCAGGGAGGGTAGAATGAACGTACTTACTGTATTATGTTTGTTGCATTGGTGATAAGACTAAAATTGTAGGATTTTAAAAATGAGACTCCTGTGTTCTCTGTTTTTCCTCATTAGCTCTGGCAAGGGCCTGGTTTAGCACTTACATCCTTTGCTTTGGAATGGAGGAAGGATCATCGACCATTTGGGAATTTACTCTTCAGATACTGTGTTACCTTTCTGTTCTCTCTGAGGGACATGGGTTTCCTGCCCACAGATGTGCTGTGCTACCATGGACTGGCAACCAGGCGGCAAGTGTTCTGAGTCAAGGGTTTTCTGAATAAAATCTAAATCAATCCTAGTAAAAGAGTCAGTGTGAGTCAGAATGCTAGGCTGTTCAGAGTCCCTGTGCTATTCCCAACTCCCTGGTTCTGGCATCTCCCTCTCCTTCTAGTGCTTATAAACACCAGAGGGCAGGCACGAAGTTCTCACCCTGTTCCCTAGGGACAGCGCCAACACTTCCACATGTAATTGGTGATACAGGAATGGCAATCCACACAATGACATGTCAGGCCCACACGTCCACAGGTAGCTTGTCCCCTCTGCAGGATCCTGTGCAAACCTTGGGGGCTGCTCTGGGAAGTGTGACCATTTGACAGTGGAGGGGACCGTGTGTGAGCTTTGACTCTTGAGACAGCAGAGAGCTTTTCTCTATATGGAGAGACCTGACTCTATATGATCATGGGTAAGAACTACATAATAATATCAAGGCTTGAGCTGAAAGAGGTAAAGCTCCCTCCCCAGAAGCTGGCCATTGAGCTTTAGGAGGAAGGAGAATCAAGCTACCCTGTCATCCTGTCCAACTTGAATGACTCTCCAACCTGCGGCCAGGCTCATATTATTTTCTTACTAAGCTTTTAAAAAGAAAGAAGAATCTAATAGTTTCAAAGTGAAAAATCATTACCCTAGGGCTAGAGATATAGCTTAACGGTAAAATGCTTGCCTAGTACATGAGAGGCCCTGAGTTGGATATACAAAACTAGGAAATAAAACCCAAAACAACAAGAACAACAACAACAAACAAGCATGCCTCATTTGTTTATTTTAAACATACTCAAAAGTCAAGGAGCCATCACCCTAGAAGAAACTACCCAAGGACATCGTGACATCACAGTGTGGAAGCTCAATGTTCATGGGAAAGCCTCAGCCTGGGAGGTTTCTTCATACAAAACTCTAGCAAGCAGGTCTGGAGAAACTTTGAGAAGTGGTTGATTCAGATGAGAACAATGACCACAGCAAGTTTAAAGGCAAAGGAGAAAAGAGGCAGGCAGTTTGTGAAGAACAGGCACATGGTTCAGCAAGCACAGGCAGCTTTGGCCGTTTGGGTCAGGGGCCAACAGGCTAACTATCTCTCCATGATCCAGAGATCCACATGCCACTGTATAACAAAGGCTTCTAGCAAGGCAATGGGCCAGTTAAGAGTGTGGGCTTTCGGCTTTCTAACAGCCTTTATGTACAGCCACTGATATTTATCATCTCTGTGTCCCTGAGGAATTTGCTGAAACTATTTGAGCTTGTTTTCTCTCAAGAAATGGGGAAGTAAGTGGTCCTTCTTCTAATTTGTAAGATGCCTAGTGTTCAGGTCCTATGGAAGATAAACCCTATATACAATACACTGAAAAAGAGGGGAGTAGATAGCTGGTCCTCTTCCTACAAGATTACCCCACTATGGTCAAAATAAAAGTTTCGGTCTTTAATGGGAGTAAAACTGACAAAGTAAGGAGAATTCAGAAGAGGCAAGTGTGTGGGTGGGGAACCAAGGCAGGCACACCCCTATTTCCAGGAGATAACATCTTAGATTCCCAGTGCTCAATGAGGGCCTTGACATACTCAGTAAGTTTGTTCACCTTCCCAGTTCAGTTGCCCCTATACAAACTATTGACTGATGATGGAGCTCACCCAGAAGCAAAGGTGCTCTCCCAAGGCTACATAGTTCATAACCAGAATCCAGACATGGAATTATCTACTCTAAAGCCAGACTGGCAGCAGCAAGAGCAGCTTGGCCTGAGCAGTCTCAAGAGTGGATGCCTGCTCAGCTGGCTCTAATGCCAGCAAGTAAGCCTAAAGTACAAGCCACATCTGTAGCCCAGACTTGGAGACTCCTTAGAGGAAGTTGGAGCATTGGTCTTAGAGAATTTCGACATGACTGAAGGAGAAGAACCTGGAAACTTCCAGTGCCTAAACCCTACTTCCAAGAACACTGTGTAGGGTAACCCCCATCTCCTTTTCTTACATGGAGGCTATCCAGGAGGGACTGGGTTCATGGCCTTCTCTGAGAGTCCTTCCTTCTGGATTACCATAGGAGTGGCACCTAAGGGAACCCTATTGCATTCACCTACTGCCATTTAAATCTGCACATGACCCATCATAGGCCCTTGCCCCATGTCCCAGGCAGAAGGGAACAGAAGAAACACACAGGGCACCACCATATACATTTCTTCTTCAGGCCATCCCTGTTGACTCTAAGTTAGGGACAATGAGGGAAATGTCCGTGAAGATGGACACTGCTGAGTGAGGGAGCCAGGGATGTGACAGGATTTGTATGTGGAGACAAAGGACCATTGTTGAAGTCCTCTATGACACCTCACCTTCTCAACTTTGGTGGATAATAATGTGACTTTTTTTTTTTTTAAAGCAGGCATAATATTCAAAGAGGGAAAAGATGAAAATGAACGGACCGAGCTTTATCATTTTTTTAAAGGGGGGATCTTAATACTCTGGCTAAAGTTCCTTTTGCTAAAACACAGAGGTATCTATGATGGGAATTTGTCATATTAAGAGGTATATGAAAAAGTGGCCTTAAACAAGGGAAAACTTTCACTTAGTCATGACACAGCTGAAGTGTGGGGCATGTAATGAGTCTCCTGAAGGAAAAGATGCCTGGCATTAATCACTTGCTATTCCAGAAGAGCTGTAACCCAGTCTCAGGGCTCAGGAAACAGAGGCCAGGGCAGTGGCCTGACCTTGGCCTCTCACCAGAGTGGGAATTCCAAGAATTCCCTATTAGAGTCCAGCAAAATACTCTCTGTTCTCAGTGCCCTTCCTCCACCCCAGCAGAGGCTGTGCTTCTGTCAATAGTCAGTGATCCCAGAAGGCCAGACCTAAAGGCCCCCTCAACTTGTATCCTGCAGCTGTCTCCCCCCCCCCACCAGAGACCAGGCAAGTGCAGCTGCTTATTCTAGGTCCCTTGAAACTGAGGAGGCCAAATTGGGCAAAGTGAGCACATTCCACAGAGCACACCATTAGAATCTAAATGGAGTTTAGTGGGTGCTCAACCTGTGTGTTGTGACTCCTTGGAGTCATACATATATCAGATAGCCTGCCTATCAGCTACATTGCAATTCGTAATAGTAGCAAAATTATAGTTAGGAAGTAGCAATGAAGAAATTTTATGGTTGTGTGTGTGTTAGGTGGGTCACCACAACATGAGGAACTGTATTAAAAGGTCACAGTTTTAGGAATATGAGGACGCCTGGCTTCTTCCTTCCTTGGGTTGCCCTCCTTTGGTGGGACTGGGAGGTCTTCAGCCCTACCCTGCTCTGTTAACTTCTTTGTCTGGCTTTTGTCTTGGGCTGGGCGAGTGACATCCCAAAAGGGTTAGTACTGACACCCTCTCTGATGACAGATCCCAGATGGGGTGACATGCCAGGGCTGGCACTCTTGGGTAGGCCTGGACTAGTGGTGCCATATCAGCTGCCTGGAGGCTTCTCTGCCCTGGCCAGCAAGTGTTACCAAATACCACAGAGGTTGGTTGTGTGGGACTGAGTTTGCAGGTGACAGAATCCTGAAGGAGGGGCAATGAGGGGCTGTGGCAGGGACCCCAGAGGGTGGCTGACCTGACAAGGAGCTGAAAGGGCTATGGGTGAAAGGTCAGGGACAGTGTGGATCCAGGTCTGAGAGGAGCCCTGAGATTGATGGTATACTTTAAGCCACAGTTGGTGGCAGGATCCCAGAGCTGGTTCTCTGGAATTGACTGACAGCATTTGTCTTAGTTGGGGTTACTATTGCCGTGAAGAGACACCATGACCATGGCAACTCTTATAAAGAAAACATTTAATGGAGGGGGTTGGCTTACAGTTCAGAGGTTCAGTCCATCATGGTGGGGACCATGGCAGCATGCAGGCAGGCATGGTGCTGGAGAAACAGTCTAACGTCCTACATCTTGCAGGCAACAGGAAGTCGACTGATTCACACTGAGTGACACTTGAGTAAAAACATCAAAGCCCGCCCCAACAGGAACACACTTCCTCCAATAAGGCCACACCTCCTAATAGTGCCACTCCCCCTTGAGGGTATTGTCTTTCAAACCGCCACAGCAGTGTAGGCCCACAAAAGGCCCAGACTTTGTTTGCCAGGAATGAGGACTGCATATTGCAAGTCACTTTCACAGAGTGTTTCTCCAAGGCCTCCACAAAGACACCTCTTGCTTCTGATGCCTGGGCCTAGGCAGCCTCAACTATACTCTGAGGTGGTCACCTGATTCATCAGAAGGAACAGAGCTTAGATTGACCACAGTGGTCAGAAGTGGCTTGTAACAGAGGACCAGGGACATGCGTAGATGCACAGTTGTGGAGTGTGCCTAGTAAGGATTACCGCTGAGCACAGGTAGGCTATCATGGAGAGCTCATAGATGTTTTAGGCCTCAATACAGACCAGACAGTGTTGAGGTGCTAGGCATAGCATAGCAGGAGGAATGTTACTGGAGACTGGGCTTCAGGGAGCCTTCTTGGATGGAGGAGTGCCCAGCATCCTTGAAAATGATGGCAGGGCCCAAGCCTTGGCAGAAT